TATTGAATTTGTTAACCTGAATAATTCACAGTAGAAAAGAAAATTAAAAGGTAGGTTTAACCATTAGTTAGTTAGATTAATAATATAGGAAGTGTCTTAGACTTCTACTTGGAAATTTTCAAGTGGAAATTTGTAAACATTTATTAGACCTACTCAAGAACGGGCTCAGTTCATAATATGAGGATATACTGTATATTGATTACTGTTTCAGTAAAATTAAGACCATAATAATTCAGAACTTCGATCATAAAAAATACAAAAGATATGAAAAACCTTTACTGCTTACCTTGGAATCTAATCTCTTAAGCCCCTGAGCTGTATATTTTGTATCTTTTTCTCCTCTTCAACTCCAACAGCCTGACTGTGTTTTTCGCATATACTCTGCAACATTGAATATTCTATTGTGTGTTGCCTTTGTAAAAAGTATAATATTATCTTTTCTAGCACATTTTGTCGAAAACAAAAAACTTACAAACTTAAATAGATATCTTGTCTTATATGGGAACCGAAACCAAAATGAAAATAAGCTTGTACAACGCAGCCTATACAAGGCGAAGTTGTTGCACTTTTTCAACTTAAGAAGCGGGCCAGTGGCGAAACATTGCCCGTAACCATGGCAATATTGACAATGGTGTAGCTAGCGGTCCCGCTGTCCCGTCGATTATTTTGAGCCAGCTACGCCACTGAATATTGATATCATTTTGATCCATGAGAGATCATCTGTCTCCCTATTACCCTCAAATAACCCTCAAGGAAAACGCCACAAAAATTAGCCAGCGCAATTTGAGCAATTTTACAATTCTCAAATTCGCTATCAGGCTCCCAAAGTTATCCCGCGGTTTTGGAAAAATTTATTACATTCTAAATGTGCAATTTTGCGTGCGAAAATGCCAGGCGTGTTAATTATAATCGCAGTTCTCGCAAAGTTTTGATTCATGTAAAACACGGTACAACTGTGTGGTTTACCGGAGAATTAGCGACAGTGTTGGGATTTGACCAGGACACTCTTATTGAAAAGAAAACTTCGAATGGTGGATTTTCATTCATGTATGTCTGCATGCACTGATATCGTTGATGCACAATTTGTGGGCGATGTGAAAGTGCCATTGCTACGAATCGTTAATATGAGTTAGGAATATGGAAACACCGTTCACGCCAGTTTTCGTAATTTGCAATACGTGTAAATTATTTTGAGACCATTGAAGTCAATATAAAGAATGACCAAAACGAAAACGTCTTATTTGAGATCGGGAAGTCAATCGCAACACTTCACTTTAGAAAAAAGAGATCCCAGTGCTTTATTCAAAAATGCGCGGACGACTAATTGTGGATGCTCGACTGTTGAAAGATCATTTCTTGAGACAGCAGCGTGGTGGGAATATCGTTGCATGGGTTGGTGGTGCACGTATGCAAAGGGGATATGGGATCGAAGGTATTTTCAAGAGCCTTGCGAGATATGGTATTCCTCTATTCATACAAGGTGCTAAAGTTGTCGGCAAAAGAGCATTACAAGCAGCCACAGAAGTTGGTCTAGATGTAATCCAAGGGAAAAAATGTAAGAGAATATTTTAAATCACGAGGAAACCAAGCAGCATCTGATCTTGCTGAATACGCTGCCAAGAAAGTAATTGCTGTGCTGAGTGGTTATATTACTACCTAAAATAAACAAGCAGAAACTCGATGTTTCCAGTGAAGGCACAACATCACTGGTCAGTCATTCTGTAAGCATCGCTGTTTTGTAAACAAAGCAGTACGTGAATGCAAATCCAAATATTACGAGTCCTTGATAAAAGAAAACAAAAATAATCCCTCTGGCCTTTGGAAAACTCTCAATGAATTAACATCGCGCAACACACATTCTTCAGCGCCAAAATCTATAATATCGGACGGCGTTGAAACCAAGAACTCGCAATCTATATCATCTCTTTTCAAAACTTTCTTCACCAATATCGGAAAGACTTGGCAAACACAATCAAGCAAAGATTGTCATCAAACATATTCTCCTGTATTCAACTACCACAATTTAATTCCACATTTAAATTCAAAGAAATTGATGTTGCGTCTGTTTTCAAACAACTATCAAATCTTAAAACTAATAAATTTACCGGCCTTGATGGTATCAGCGCCAGACTACTGAAAGATGCTGCAACAACTATCGCCCCAACCATAACTGACATATTTAATCAATCACTAAAATCTTCTATCTTCCCCAAGATCTGGAAAGACGGGAAAGTAACACCAATATTTAAGTCTGGCGATCGCTCTAATAGTTCAAACTATACAGACCCATAACTGTTCTGCCAATCCTGAGCAAAATTTTGGAACGTTTCGTTCACACGCAGATTTACAGCTATTTATCTGAAAATAAAATCCTCTCCAAATCTCAATTTGGCTTTAGACCAAAGTTATCTACGGGTACCGCATTGGCATTTTTCACCGATACTATTCTTGATAATGCTGACAACGGTCTCGTCACAGCCTCTGTCTTTCTGGATTTTAGCAAGGCATTCAACACGGTTGATCATGCTATCCTGTTGAGCAAATTGAAATAATTTGGACTGGATAATAACTCGTTAAATTGGTTTGAGTCATACCTTACCAATCGTCAACAGAAAACGTCAATTAACAATACGTTATCCAGCTCATTACTTGTGTCAGTTGGTGTTCCGCAAGGTAGCATATTGGGTCCCTTACTTTTCATTATTTACATAAATGACATGCCCAACATTGTGAAACACTGCAAAATAATACTCTACGCTGATGACACTCTTCTATATTATTCCTCCAATTCGGTCAAAGACATTGAGCTATGCGTTAATGAAGATCTTCATTCAATCTGTAAATGGCTTGATGAAAATCTGCTAACACTAAACTGTGCAAAATCCAAGTTCCTCCTTTTTGGCGGTAACCGTCGCCTAAAAACATTCACCAATATCTCCATATACGTTAACGACCAACAACTTGCCAGAGAACAAACTTTTAAATATCTAGGAATCACCTTTTCAGAGAATCTCACTTGGTCCAATCACATAAGTAATGTATCGATAAAAATCAACCAACGTATTGGATTGCTTAGAAGAGTTAAAGTCTTCATCCCATTAAAAGCTCGACTTACAATCTACAATTCTCTCATCCTCCCATTATTCGACTACGCTGATATTATATGGGGTGATAAGAACAACACCACCCTCATGGATCAACTTCAAATCCTTCAGAACAAGGCTGCAAAGACGATTCTTGACGCTCCTTACCTATCCTCCTCCACTGAAGCTCTCTCAAACCTACACTGGCACCCACTTACCCACCGACGATACTTACATCGAATGCTGACCATATTCAAATTGAAAAATAACCTGATAGACTATGACTTCGACCTACCTAAAGCCAACCACCTGCATAACACGAGACAAAGAGATCACATTCATCTCAGCAAACCTAGTACCAATTGGGGAAAGCAGAAACTTTTATACCAAGCTTGTAAGGAGTATAATGATTTGAACAAAAACATTATGTCAATTAACCATCTAGCTAGTTTTCATACTGCACTTCTTAAATCTCCATAGTATAATCGAACGCATTTTGCAAACAGCTCTTCTTTGTAATATATAATTATCTTAGTTCTATATTTTAAAACTTTTCTTGTTTATATATATACATCGCATATAACCTGCATGCATATTATTATTGTATAATCTTTTGTATTTGTATAGTTTTCTCAGGGACCTTCTGAAAAACACAACTTGTGATGTTGGTTTTCCTGAATAAATACTATTATCAATCAATCAATCAATCAAAACGCACGTGAAACACGACGATTAAAATTAGTCTGAGCTTGACATTTTACATGTTTACATTTTCTTTACCGTTTGATTGTTGATTTTAGCAAAACATATAACTGATTACAACAGTATAGGCAGGTAGGTCGTACATAAGCAAATACTTAAATATATGAATAATAATATGATTATATTTTATATATACATGCTAAAATATATTGAAATATAAAAACTGAGCGGCATTGTTGTGTAATTGTGCATTTGTGCATTATGACTTCCTGGATTTAATATAAACCGTGAAGAATACGATTTTTCATTATATCTGAATTTGCACCGTAATATTTAGGTTTACTTTTGCTCTATATGACTCGATAAAACTAGCTTATACGGAGTTATACGCCAGGACGGAAAATTGAAAGACATACATTACAGTATGTCTTTGTTGTATTTAAGGCTGTGCCTACAGGACATTTCCTGTGGCGTTCTGCTGAGAATACAGCTAAAATAGTTGTTTTAATTTAAAAAAACGTGTTTGTCTTTGTTAAATTTTGGATATTTAGTGTATAATGTATATTACGAGCGATTCAGGCAAAATAATTTGAAATATATTATAGTAATCAAACAAGTCAATATATGAATATATCTGACGAACGGCGAAATAATCGGCTTTGACCTTTGTACAATTTATACAAAGGTCAAAGCCGAACACGTTTTTAAAACAACTATTTAGCTGTACAAAAATGTTATTTTTGAAAATATATCTTAAAACCGACAGGATTAGGAGAACAACTTAAAGACGTGAAGGTACCGAGTTCTTAAACTTTCCGAAAACTGAATAATTCTTAGATTATTGTATTGTTTATTAATTTGACAACTTTATTATATTCTGCATGCCCTGGGCCGTGGCGAACATTTGGTGAAAATGTAGCTATGGTATAATAAATGTATAATAGCATCATATAGAGATTTTCCACGGGAAACCACAAAAGGTGCCCTGTTACATTAACCGGTTAACCCGTACCTCGTCGTTCGTTCAACTTTACTAACTTTTATGCGATATGCACTAGTACGCAGTAGTAGACTGGTATAGTTAGCACTTTTCCATGCATGCTCTACATTTGATTTCAGGATTCTCAGATCTTAACGAGTTTCAGTCATGTGGACGACCGTCGACCGAAGATCACTTTAACCAGTCTCTTAAACTAGTCATGTAACTGTCTTAATATGTCATCTACACCTTGTACTCGTAAACGACGTTATCGTCAGTATCGGATAAAATGCGACGAGTGCCAGAGCGAAATGAACACAGACTACCGAGATATTCATACGAAAAATGCACACAACGGCAAGAAAATCAAGTTCAGTCCAGTGGTAGAACCTTCACAGATTCAGTTACACAGTTTTTTCACAAGAACAGGCACATCGACGCGTGGAAGTGACGTCAGCGAGGATACTGTTGAGGAAGACAGTAATCGTTTCTCCAAAGACTGTACCGCTTTACCAGAGAAGTCTATCGAGATCCAATCGATATCCCACCCAAGTGTAATTCACAAGCCAGTCACAGAGCTTAGAGACAAATCCAAGACAAGCAATGCAAACATAGACCAGGACCAAGCCGGACAACCGGATGTATTAGCAACAGCAACAGAACAGCAACAGCAACGGATTGACGATTTAAAAATCCTTGACCAAGAAATGGTTTGTGTACCACCTGCGGGAACAAGTATGGTGTCCGGCAATCCTGACACTGATAATTTTAAGTTTGAGAGTGACATAACTGAAAGACCACTTGTGTTTAACACCGATACATCGTCAGCAGCTACCTCCACAGCTACTTCCACAGCTACCTCCACAACTACCTCCACAGCTACCTCCAGGGCGCCAAATCATCCAATTCAATCAAAATATCCAACGAGAACATTTGGAAATGAAACCTTCACACGAAAATTCAATACCGAATGGTACAAGAAATATCCATGGATAAGCTATGAAACTAAACAAGACAAGTGTGTATGCTTTCCTTGTAGAGAATTTGAAAAGGACGATTCGTTTGTGTTTAACAATTGGAAGAAGCCAGAGAAGCTATCTAAACATGGGAAATCTCAGAAGCATATCACGTCGATGACCAAGTGGGCATTGGCTAAGGCCAACCACAAGATGAACACATCCGTTCTAAAGCAAATAGACAGTGCTCATAAGCAATATGTTTTCAGCAATCGACAATACCTCCAAGTAATAATCGAGTGTCTGATGTATAACGTTCAGCAAAACGTTGCCATAAGAGGACATGAGGAAGATAGAAAACATATTTGAGAGGTCTCTGATATTAACAGAGGGAATTTCCTTGAGCAGCTTCATTTTAGATGTAAGGATTTGCCATGGCTAAAAACGAAGCTCCAAACTCATCATGAAGAGCATATCCAGTGGACATCGCCAAAAGTACAGAACGAGCTCATTGAAATCGTGTTGAGCTTGGTGCTACAGAGGATTACACGTGATGTCAAAAGCAGTGGCCATTACAGTATCATTGTTGACGAGACATCAGACATAAGCAGAACGAAGCAAGTATCTCTTTGTCTTCGATACGTCGTCGAAGGAGAAACACGAGAGACATTTGCCGGATTTTTTGCGACTGAATCAACCGAAGGTGAGGTCCTATATGAGCTCGTGAAGGAATCGATCACAAATCTCAACTTGCTGTTAACCGATATTGTTGGAGAATGCTTTGATGGCGCGGCGAATATGAGTGGCTGTCATAAGGGCGTAGCATCGCGAATGAAAGAATGTTCACCACTTGCTCTATATGTCCATTGCTATGCTCACCGTCTTAACCTCGCTCTTCAGGATACAATGACCAGTATCGAGCCAATTCGTAACGCTCTTGGGACAATACAGAGTCTGTATAATCTTATCGAAGCAAGCCCAAAGCGCCACAGTATATTTCAGAACATCCAGGTGGAAGAAGAACATTCCGATCTAACCCTCAAATCCATGAGTGTGACCAGGTGGTCGTGTCGCTGGCAGGCAGTTAAGGCAGTGTTTGAGCAAATGCCGAGAATTATTAGAGCTTTGCTTAGTTTGTCGTCGGATCGTGATGTGAAGACGTATACTGATAGCAATAACCTGCTTAATGCAATTTGTGATTTTAAATTTGTATTTGGTTTAGTAGTGCTCAGAGTAATCCTTTCCAACACTGATAGCCTTAGTAAATATCTGCAAGGCAAGAATGTTGATGTGATCACCGCTAAGAAGACCGCCGACGGTACAATGGAAGCATTGACCAAGTGCCGGAATGAAGAATCTTTCCAGATGGCGTGGTCCAGAGCTAAGATCCTGTCGCAAACGAAAAAAAGGGAAATTAATGGAACCACGTTTTCCTTTAAAGATGCCACAGCACCAAGATGCAGACAGCCATCGCGTCGGTTACAGGCTCTTGTTGGAGAACAATTCAGTGATGGCTTACCATCACAACCAAGCGCCGAAAGTCATTACCGCGTCACAACGTATTACCCAACATTCGATAAAGTTCTCCTCGAGATGAAATCACGATTTCAGAGTCATGATCAAGACATCTTATGCGCCCTGGCTGAAGTTGTTTCTAAGACTAATATTATTATTAATAATAAATTAGACATGGAGATACTTACAGCTGAAAAAGAAATCTTCCAGAATTTTTTGAAGAAGAACCCAGCAGAGATAAAACATGCGTCTTCCGTCATCAAATTCATGTTTCAAAATGGGCTTCATGAAGTTTTACCAGTGCTCTATAAAGTGTGTTCAATTTTGACAACAATTCCAGCCACATCATGCTCAGCTGAAAGATCTTTCAGTGATTTACGCCGCATAAAGACCTACCTTCGCTCCACGATGCGCCAAGACCGTTTGAGCAGCCTAGCACTTATTTGCATTGAACGTGCTTACGCAAACAGAACACTTGAGAATGACATGGAAAACATTATTGACATTTTCGGCAAGAGGAAAAAGAGAAATTCGTATTTCTTTTGACAATTGAGATTAGTCTATTTTGTACGGACTACGAATATTACCTCTGGATAACATTTTCAGTTAAACTTTAGTTAGTAAGTCTTTTTCATATTTGGTGTTAATCAATATACTGTAAGCCCAATGATATCTTAGACGATGTGGACTTGTCGTTGTTGTCTATGACAACTTTACTTATAGTCACAGATATATATATTACATGATAAATTAACTTGTGAATGTATTATGTATACGTATTAGTTAAATTTAACGTGAATATGAGTATCAATTACAAAATAAAAGTCGGGCAATTTTCTAGATAGTCGGGCAAATTGCCGACCGTCCCCCTGAAAAATGTTGGCCGGTACGCCCATGACCACAAAAATGTTGTATTTAATGTTGATCAGACTGTAATTGCTGATTTTAATACTTCAAGATGCTCTGACTAGTTTTACTACATATAAAGTGCTATAAAAGGTATCATTGTGTCTTATATATAATATTTTCATAACTTTAATTTAAAATCCATCTTGTGAGGCAGAGAAATTTTGCCCAACTTTTTACGATTGATCTTATAGTTAATAAACAGCTGCCCCCCCCTCCCCCACCTAAAGTTATATGTCTTTGAATTCCACATTAAGTATGGGCCAGTATGGATAGTATAAACTCCTTAACTAAGGCCACACTTTGTTGCATATTTGTTTCTCATCCAGGACTGTTCCCAAAGTTGATGTGGGCGAATGGTCATTACTGTTATTCCATCGTGTAGAGTTTAAGCTTTTATGCATGCTTGTACAATTTTCTGTGTAGAGTTTTCATTGCTTTACGATATTAGGTAAAATGTAAAGCAATGTGTTGGTATTAAATGTGTTGTGATAAAAGCATCTAATATAGGAAAGAAGAAGTGGTATTTTGCAAATGAATATGTCAAATCCTTTTTGTACTAGAAAATACATGCATGCAGAAACCCTCGCCTTGCTGACAAAACCATTGTATTTTCTGAACATGAAGACGTGATAAAGTATCTAAAGTAGTTGTCATGGTAACATGATAATTTTTTAAAAATATTCTTACAAATGAAAAATCGCCTAAAAATATCACTTTTAATTACAAAATTATCAATTTCCCAACATATATATGTTAGGTATGTTATTATACGTAATATAAACTTCAATTTAATGTAAACTTCAACTACAAACGCTTCGCAAAACATTTTAAAGTTTTCTTTATAAAACTAAACTGCCTTTAATTAAGTTGCTTTATTGATAAACTTTGAGTTTGCAATAAAATTATTTCGATGCAAATTACTTTGCTTTCTTTTTTTTATTTAAAAAATTCAATATAATAAGAAAGGGAATCAATATTAATAATAATAATAAATAGTTTAATAAAATGCTTTGCAGTTACAAAACTGAATTACACGCTTAAACTAGAGATATGACAATGAGCTTTTAGAAATATTACAAATAAAAAGTTATCTATTAACAAGATTAAATAAAAAAGTTAAAAAAAAGAAAAACCTACAATGACTAAGAAACATCAATAATATTTGCATGTAATAAACTGAAAGAAATATTCTGTACGTGCCCTTACTCTATTTAGTCCCTCATGTCTTAAATTATAACTATGATTACGTTCATTATGAATGTTATTACGAAAGTCACCGAACTGTGGAATCGCATAAAAAATTCGTATATCGACCACTCCCACAAACGTCTACGACCGCGCCTACATAGTTTTGCACGTTTACAATTCTAATTTTAAACAGCCAATTACCAAGAACCTGATTGGCTGTTCAAAATTAGAATTGTAAACATGCAAAACTATGTAGTCGAATGTAGGCGTGGTCGTAGACGTTTGTGGGAGTGGTCGATATACGAATTTTTTATGCGATTCCACAGTTCGGTGACTTTCGTAATATGCCTCAAAATGTTAGCAAAAGGGTTATTTGGTTGATCGTCAGACTTCATTTTCTCAACAAACATCGGGCAAGCATTTGATCAGCGACTTGCTAAAGTTTCTAGACCGGACCGCGTCAAAGCATCTTCGTAAGCAAGAGAGGGAAGAATTATTCGTAATGCTCGTTTTTGAACAGACTCGATTAAATTTGTTAAATTTTCGGTTAAGTCCAACCACACATAAAGGCGGAATTGGCTTTCTTGAGAATATAATCCACATGTCTGTTCCACGTAAGATCTTGTGAGATGATAATGCTTAATAACTTATAAAACAAACTCTTTCAACTGTGTTTCTATATATATATATATATGTAATCTATACACTGCAAGTCATATTTAAGGAATGATGCAAACATTTCCTTACATTTCTTTGGGTTTAACCTCATCCCATGTGAAACTTCAAAATCAGAAATTTCATTGACAACGATGGGCAGTAAGCTTGGCATCAACATACTTAATCCTGCCTTGCCAATCTTTTAATAAAGAGTTAACCATGATTGCAAATAGTAAGGGTCCTAATTTGGTTCCCTGTGGTAAACCTCCATTAGTTTTCTTCCAGGAAGATTTACAGTTTCAACCCTAACACACTGTTGTTGGTCAGTTAAGAATGATTTAATCCAGCATATAATAATGGGATGGATGCCAAGCTTTTCAAACTCAGTAATAATGACATTCTGATCAACTAAATCAAATCCCTTTTTAAAATCTGCGAAGAACACTTGAGCTGAACATTGACCTTTGTCAATTTTGCTTAGAAATTTCCAAACAAATTGCTTCAATATCATCAGGGACCAGATATGTAGAATTGTATAGTGGATAGTACTATGGAGGTAGATACAACCCCCCCTCTATAATCTGTTGTTCCTGATGATATCGTAGCCACAAATTTTGAGCAGACCATCCGAAATTGATGAATCCAGTCTAGTTTCATTCAAAGCAAGATAAGTTCATCAGAATCAGCACCCACACTCTCAAACCATCACTTAGTAATACCAAACTTAAAATTATTTTGTAACACCAGGCTGCCAGAAGGATTTAAATGTCATCCTCTGACGTTTAAGTGTGTGTAGTCTTAATATTAGTATGTGGTATAAAGTTCCAATAATTTTGGTCACACATAGAGTTGACAAATTTATTCATTTCTCTTATGTTGCTTGAAGCAGACATACCATCTGATCTTGTGATGACCCCCAAGAAACAATGATCTCAATATCTGGACACTGTTGCTGAATAGAATGTGCAAGATTGGTTATGCCATCAGCAACAGTCTTGGTGTCATCTTTACGTAAGTTGTTAGTCCCAATGTGAGGGATGATTTTTTTTGGTTTCTTACGAAGAATTGGTTTTATAACTGATTGAATTTATCTGACCGTAACACGGTTAGTTGCACTTGATATATCCCAGCCTTTCACATATTTGATCATAGAGTCACTGACAATGACCGTGTTATTTTTTATTTCTTATTACGCCCACTCTTTGTGCCAGCAGCCGATTTTCTCAAACTTGATTTATCACCAATAGGTTGTCTACCTTTGAGACCTTCCTTTGCAACTGTGTCTACATTTATCTCTGGTATTTCCACATCCTCTACTTGCAGAATAGAGTGCTTGTTTTCTAGACATGGGGCTGATGAAGACTGGATACATTTGCAGAGTTTGAAGGAGCCGTGTGCCAGGAATTTAATGCTTGATCCATTTCTATTGTGTTGTGTGGACTATTTGCATTAGGTTGAATCAATGATCGATCTTCGTTTAGCAATCGGATGGCTGTTAATAAACTTTACAAATGAAAGGCTTTTCTTTGAAGATTTAAACTTGGCTTGTCGAGTCTCCAGAGTTTCCCACCCTAGCGTTTTTATTGCTTCTGGTCCAGAAATATCATTACCAAAGTACATCATTACCCTTGCAGCTCTATTCTGACGTTTTTGCAGCCTGTTTGAAAGTCTGACACCCATGGTATCCCATACCTCACTGCAATAGTCAAAATGAGGATTAATTACGGCTAGGGCTAAATGAAAGGCTTTCCTTTGAAGATTGACAAACGTGATATAAAAAGAAATATGTCGTCCCTAGCCATTTCAATTATAAGCTAAATATATTCATTGCGATTTAAGGCGGTTTTCCACTAGGCGGAATTTTGCGCACAGAGCGACATTTTCCGCCAAAAAATTTTCAAGCATGTACAAAAGCAATATATTCATGTGCTGCTATTGTGCTTTTGTGCATTTTTTTGCACTATTTATGCAGCCGCAAAGTTGAAAGCAGTTCAACTTTTTCGGTTTCTGTGCGAACAATGAATAGAAACAACCAATCACAACGTTAGAAATATTACCTGAACAACAAGCTTTTGTGCATTTTTTTGCACTAATTGTGCAGCCGCAAAGTTGAAAGCAGTTCAACTTTTTCGGTTTCCGCGCGAATGATGAATAGAAACAACCAATCACAGCGTTAGAAATATTACCTCAACAATCAAGATTGGCCTCTGTTTGGCACTGACTCGTTTACCGAGTCGAACAGGGATTTCTTTTAATATTTAATGAGATATATATTCTATACAAAATGAAAGTTGCCTAGTATAAGTATAAAGGCTAAAACACATGCATTCCAATCATATTTTCGCGACATAACATGGTAAAATTGACTAATAACACAATACTACAAACATAACATATAAAACAATTAAACATCTGTACCTGAAGGGTAGATCACTGCAGGACTTGACTCTGACCACAACTTTACGTTAATCTCTCTAACTATCCGTCCTTTAAACCGTCTCTTTACTCTCGCGTGTCTCTCTTACAAAATACTGATACAACTAATGCCTATAATGTCACTCAAAAATGTCATCACTTAAATGTCTATATAAAGCATAACAGAACTTAATTTAATATTAACTACATCAAATGTCAAATGTTGCTCGCTATTTACACCAGCCTCCCACTTGAATCTTTCAGGAGTTGCAGGTATCAATTTTTCTTGTGATATTATAAACCAACAAATAGCTGACAATCAATTTGAAATTGATGAAGATTTGGCAGAAGAGAGTCAAGAGACCTGATGTCCTTGG